TTTAAAGTTGGGCTCTTTCCCCAGCTTCAGCCTGTTGTCAGCTGAAAATAGGTCACAGGATGCAGAATGAACTGCACTCCTGTGATCCACAGAAGATGTAAAGAGCTTTGGCTGTACTTCTCCTTTAACTATAGAGGCCTCTACAATTAAGACCTAAAAAAGGCAAAACATGAATGATGAGTTCTCTACAGGTGGAGCACAGGAACCAAAGCCATCTTTTATCCATATTATTCATATTTATGCAAGAGGGAGCCAGTGTCTATGTGCTACCATTTTGTTGATGTCTACTAGATCCTGTTTGTCTTGCATCAGTCTATTCAAATACTGATCTGACTGACACAGGTTTGGGGGGCATTTAAGAGGTACCATTTCCATTGTTTTGGGCTACATATGGATAAGTGAGATTGAACACTTCAGCCCCCAATCTTTTTGCAAAATCTTTCCATTTTGATGAAATCCATTGGAGTCAATAGGGATTACTAAAGTAAGCTTGGCTTGCTGAGTTGCAAGTGTTATAATAGGACATAAATGGCCCCTAATGGTTACAGAAACTGCTTTCAACTATCCTGAGCCTATTTTTTGTGGCAAATAACTCATCGTGAATTTAACTATATCTTTTTTAACAAAATTTAAAAAATGAAAAAAAAATTAAATGAAACTTTAAAGCAACACTGCTCAGCTATAATATAAAAAAAATCTGTAAGTAAAATAAAAAATGCTAAATACACCCCCCCCCTAAAAAAAAACTCTAGTAACATCAACAGTTTTCCCCTTTTGCTGATGGTATTTTCATTGTTAATTAATTTTTACTCATACCAAATTATAACAGTCTTTAAGACTGTACCCAGATTTTTTTTCACCCGCAACTTGATAACTGTTCAAGGCAGCAATACTGAAAACTCCATATGGACAATTGAGACACCTTCTGCAATCATTCATCCATATTTTTACCCTGCAACTTTGCAAAAGGAAAATATACTGAATGCTCTTAGATCATTGCTCTATTTATAATGTCACTGAAATAGTGTGTACAAGTGCATGCAAATACCAAAGCACAAAAAAAAAAAAAATAATAATAATTCCACCTGCCTTTTTTGAACTGCTGCATTCAGTATACACCATTTGCTGACAAGCCTGATCCCTACTGGATATCAATTTCCCTGAACACATAGTTTAGTGACTTCCTGCTCATATCTAGTACCAGAAAATTGTGTCCAATAACTGACCTGTATAGGCACTTTTATAGAAATTACAATACAATTTAGCCAAAACTCTTTACAGGAAAGGCACTCTCAGTGATTGCAACATTACTCAGTTCAAGTTACAATTTGGTCATGTGCTTTTCAATATGCAACTTTGGTTTAATCACTTTTTAATGAAATCAAGTTAATAGTTTTCTCTGCTTCAGTAGGTAAGCATTTATTTTCTTACATTCTTTGTACAAAATGAACATGCACAAACATTGCTCTTTCCTAGCGCATGCAAGATGTATGTTTACTAAATACAGATCGTCCTTATGTTCCTTAATGGAAAAAAACTGAATATGCTCCGTATTTATTATCCATGGTGACTGCTCTTGGGTAAAATGCATTCTAAGAATTTAATTTTTTCCTAAATACATTCACACAGAAGCATTAAAGGAAAATTTTAGCTTACACAATAAAGGTTTTAAACAGAAAAAAAAATTACCATACTCTTCCTTTGTGTCATGTGTACTGTTGGCTAAGCCATATATGCTCCAGCAAGGAGTCAGCAAGGATAGTAAAGGGCAGAAACCCTGAGTAACCTATTTCACTTTACTTAAAGCACTTAAATAGGAAAAATGACAGGTTGAACTTTTGTGACAGGTTGCAACTCCAATTTCTGTGTAAATGAATACAATACTTTGCCACTGTTAATACTGTGAAACATCCACAATGTTTGGAATCCAGTTTCATTCATGAACATAAAAATAGGCAATATAAAGACAAGTTATAAGTACATTTAAACAAAATAACTCTTTATTTGTCATGTTTCATAATTGATAACAGCAGGAGCCAACCTGCTGCTGTGTGAGCCAATAATGAGACAGAGACTCAAGAGAGAATCTGCTCTCATAAACATCTCTGGATCGAGATGGGGCTTAGGTAAGTATAAGGGGGGGGGGGGGGGGGCTGGGGGGAAGTTGAACCCAGAAAGTTTTTTATCTTAATGCATAGGATGCATTAAGGTAAAAAAAAACCTCTGTCTTTAGAACCACTTTAAGTGTTGCTTGAACATGTCTGTGTCTGTTTTTTAATCAGCCTGAACAGGCGTAAAATCAGCAAAAACCCTGAACTCATTGAAATCATTAAAGGCAGAATTCAGGTGGGCAGTACATGCCACACTCCTGCTGTTAAGTGATAGATTTCTGGCTGCAGTAATACCCCTGGAAATCCCAGATGATGATAATTGTCAAATTTGTTAAATGACATCACCCATGATTCCCAGCAGTAAATGTAAATGACCTCAGCCTGGAATCTATCATTTAGCTTTGGAAATGCAGCTTGTACAGACTGGCCAGTAATGGGTCACATAGCTAATGTGAATATCCTTGTTGCACAGCTTGAATGACAGAAACATGATTGCATACCGTCATTCATGCTGGATGTGCTTCCAGGACATTATTAAACTTTATTTTAAAAGCCAGTTAGTGTTTGTGTTTTATATTTGAAATAATATTTTATTTGGTGTTGGTGTTTTTTCTATTTCTACCCATTTGTAGGAATAGACATTATTAAACATCTGTATTTATTTCCCTGGGTGGAGGGAGATATTTGATGACTGATGTTAAAGTGCATCTACCACATCTTCCCCCATTTTACTATTACCTCCACCTCCTTTTTGGGGCACATGGATGTAAGGAACAGGGCCTTGTACCTCAACTTTGCTTTGCAAGATGCTAGGCTTTCTAGGTTATTTGGAGACAATACATTAATTTTAAACCAGCCTTGTACTGGTTTATAATTTAACAATGTAACAAACCCCCACTGACTTTAAAGAGCTGCACATGTAGACGGAGCCTGTTGATTGGTACCTCAAATGGAGGAGAGGCACACAGAGACCACAGAAAATGAGTTAATATTATTTTCATTGGAAATAACAATTAACACTTGGAGAACAGCTTCAAGGTGCTAGCTTCACAATCTCATGGTAATACACTTGGAGAACAGCTGCAAGGTGCTAGCTTCACAATCTCATGGTAATACACTTGGAGAACAACTGCAAGGTGCTAGCTTCACAATCTCATGGTAATACACTTGGAGAATAGCTGCAAGGTGCTAGCTTCACAATCTCATTGTAATACACTTGGAGAACAGCTGCAAGGTGCTAGCTTCACAATCTCATGGTAATACACTTGGAGAACAGCTGCAAGGTGCTAGCTTCACAATCTCATGCAATGTCAGAGTCTCAATATTACAGGTATTACAGATGCAAGGGCTCTCAGCAATGTCAGTGACACATTGGAGTAGTTTCAGAAATAAAAGCTTACATTACCAAGGCAGAATCTAAGTAGTGGCATGGCTGCTAGGCAGGGCAAAGGTATGAGTGGCACTTAGAAGACTGATGACCAGATCTATGTTGCAGCTCTAGAGTCCCAGCAACGGTGAAGCCAGCAGCATTATCCCTATTATGTCCTTCCTTGTCAGGAACCCTAACCTAGGGCTGATGACAATATTCCTATCCTGTCCCTACACTATCCACTTGGCATATACATACCAACTGCAATGAGGCACTTCTATTAGCATTGCCCTCACTAACGAAGGGCACTGAGGTCATCCAGTGTTGTAGTGCCCAATCAGACTGCTGCTCCCCTGGTGACACCTACATAGGCTTCAAAGGAACAAAGCTTCTCTCACCCTCCATTCCCTCTGTACAGCGGCCAGCAACACAGCACCACATACAGAAGGGAGGGTAAACTTCACCTGCCTAAACACCTGTATTTATAAGAATATACTTTTACCACTATGCATGCATATTTATGTATTCTGCATTTTTTTCTCAATTAAGTACATTCAAACGTTGCAGATGTAAGGTTCTACCTTTTCATAACTGCATCTGTGATGTTTGAGATGAATTTAGCTCTTTCCCTTACACAAACAGTTATGTGTGCATTCAGTCTTAATGATGCCATAATGCCATATAAATAATCAATATACTAGGAAGAAAATAGAATATCTTCTTTCAAAGAATGGTGTAAATAAAATATAATATATTAAATAATGCACATATTATATTGTAGTGACACTGTATACATTAAATGATGTACAGTGTCTGAAAAGTAAAATCAAGCTGGAATTTTTTTTTTCAGCAATCACAACTTCTGACAAAGTGTTACACTTCTGCTGTGACCTCACTTACTAGTACAGATGCCAGGGCAAACCATTCTAAAGGAATAACACAGACTGTCACAAATTTTATAATACATATATTCCTGGCAATTTACTAGTGTCACTGAACATCTCTCACATTAGAACCATACATAATACTGCACTGTAGATGTGTGTGCATGGCATTTCTATGTGTTTAAATGCTTGTGAATACTTGCCTTTTTTCTGGCCTGGGAGTTTGGAAAGTAGGAAAGCCTGGAATAAAACTAGCTAGATTTCATAGTTCATTTAAGATAAGGTTTGATCAAAGTTTTATTTACTAAAGGCAAATAGGCTGTTCACTTTGCAATGGAAGTTGCCCCATGAATGAGTGAATGAGGTTAAGCTCTGTTGGCTTCCTCACCCATTCATGTGCAAGCAAGAATTATGTTTTTTTTTTTTTAATTTTCATTGCACATAATTGGGTATTCTTTGCAAAGTGAGACTTTACCCACTCACTCTAGGGCTAATTCCCTTTTGCAAAGTGGAACTTGCCTTCCAATATAAACAGCCTATTTGTCTTTAGTAAATCAACTCTAAAGTGTTTGACCGGTTCCATGCCGCCCTATAGCAGAAATACTGCTACAGGATGGCACGGGTGCATAAAATACGTGATTTTGCATTTGCGGGTAGAGGACGCACCCTACCCATGCTGCCATTCACGACATCGGTTGTCAATCACCGGGTCCCAGCTGGTGATTCCTCGCTGGCACCCGGTGATCACCAAGTATTACCAACAGAGGAAAGACCTGTGTATAAACAACAGAGATCTCTCCTCAGTCAGCTCCTGCACACTGTTTTGTATGGCTCTGCATAGCCATACAAAGCAGTGTGCTTATAGTGAAAACACACACACATAGCGCACATAGTAAAACAGCACACAATTAACCCTTTGATCGCCCCACATGTTAAATGCCCTTCCTGCCCAGTGCCATTAGTACAGTGTCAGTGCTTTTTATTAGCACTGATCACTGTATTGGTGTCACTGGGGATGTCAGTGACACCAAGTCAGTTCCTCCCAGTGCAAATATGAAAATAAATATAGTACATGGAAGGATGGTATAACATATTGCAATACATAAAGTGCAATAAATGATATCACTATTGGTGATCACAATGAAATTAAGTGTCCAAGTAAAGAGACGTAAAACATAGGGATCCTGTAGGGTCACAGCTTAGTGTGTAGATGTGTGATCCAGAAGTGATAGGTAAATCTTAATGAGCAGAATGCGCACTCACCAGAAGTGCGTATAAATTACGCATAAAGGAGAACTCCTGTATCATCAGGCACTCATATGGTCATCCGTATTCTGGTCAGGCAGCGTCTGGTCACTATCATCGTCTGGTCATAACCGTATCAGGATTCCAGGATTCCTCAGTAAATCACATCACTTGGGGTCACCTCTAGGGCAGGCACTGCGGAGGGTGGCACTCACGAGAGCCCAATAAGGGACACCACATAGTGTGATACTGCATAGGTGAACTTTATTCCAAAGTAAGGTAATTAAAATACAAATACTGACCAAGGATATCAGGGTGGCCACCAGCGGTGGCTAGATGTCCAGATGCTGTAGCCCCCCTGACACGTTTCGTGCTAAGCACGTATTCAGAGGGTGCAGGAATCCTGGAATCCTGATAAAACTCCCCAAACCAAACTCTCCTTCTTGGGCACAGGGTGTCCTGAAGAGCCTAATATATGTTAGTATCACATTCTATTACTTGATAATACTTGTTAGCATCAAAAAAACCTAAGCCCCTATTTTTGTATGTGGACTGGTACTAGCATGATATTATCTATTGGCATGAAATTTTTAAATTATAGTAAATTACAATGTTAAATTGTGTTGCAGTGAGCTGTATTCAAGGAGCACTCTGGAGGTCCATTGGAGTGCTATTTAAAATGAATGGCACTGCAATGCACCAACATCCATAAGGTTCGTTATCACATATTGTAACAGTGTGAATCTAGCCCAGAACATTCTACTTTTTTGTTTTTACATCTCTTGACTTTTCAACACTCAGGTTCCTAATATTGAGGCAGCTGACTAATTCTGCCTAAGAGAGAGCTTCCCACCATTGTCAGGGGCTGCACTGGGAAAAACACATTGTCATACTTTGAATTACATATATTCAGTCATGCAACACTGTATCCAATTCACTTTTTTTGAGACAGATATCTTTCTTTTGGTGATATTTAATCTCCACTGGGTTTTTATTTTTGTTGGTATATAAATGAAAAAATACTGAAGTTTTTAAAAAAAAAAAAAAACATTTTCTTTGTTTCTGTTATACAATTTTGCAAATAAATAATCTTTCTTCATAAATTTAGACCAACATGTATTCGTCTACATTTCTTTGGCAAAAATAACCCAAATCAGTTTATATTATTTAGTCTGTGTGCAAGTGATAAAGTCTATAAACTATGGTATATACGGTACATTTAAAAATTGATCAATCCTGATGTACCGATTGCCTATGTCGTTCTTTCTTTTCATCTCTTTCTTCTTCTAACATGCCAGGACAGTACAAATACCCCCCAAGTGTCCCTTATTGTGGACAGTACATAGTCCAAGGTATTAAATAAGAGGCAGAGTGAGTGTTCTGAAGTGGTAATTTTTTGCTAAATTTGTTTGGAAAATGAAGAAATTAAATAAAATGTATTACTTTCACAATTTCTTTTACATACTGTCACCAGAGCAGTTCCAAAACATCATATGACTGGTGTGGTGGTGATCAGGGATACTGGGTGATGACAGTAACTTTTTCAATGGCCTGGGCCATTGTGTGACTAAAGACATTGTGTGACTGAAGCAGCCCAGGCTAGCACAGCCAGGAGACTGATATACACACAAAATGCATACACATTAGAGAGAACCTTCCATGCTTGTACATCTAGTATATGCAGATCTCCTTTGAGCTGCATCACAAAATGGCAAGCATAGCTATAGCCCAAAGGCCAGCTCTGAGATGAGGAGCTCTTCTAAATCAAGTGTACAGAGGGTCTCGTTCCCCACTGCACATATTAGGGATATGCCAGTGAATGAAGAGCAAATGCCCAGTAATGGGTATTTCCTATAGACTCCCTCCATCTTATCTTTTCCCATTACTGAATTGACATGTCTCATTCTACTCTGCGTCCCTGTGTGGAGGCAGCCAACTTGAAAGGGAAACAGAGGAACTGGGCCTTGCTTCCTCCTTTGGTAATTTAATGATTGGTGGAGAATACTTAAGAAGCAGCAGTAAATTTGGAAAGCAAGCTCTCAGGTCAGCAAGCACAGAAGCAACATTACCAAATCTCATGAGACTAATGGTCAGTTCTTTAAATGATCTCATACTACAGATTTATAGCTATTAAACTACAGGAAAAGTGAACAGCTATTTTTGGTGAGGAAGACAAAAGGTAGATTTTTCACAGTATTGCTTTTGCAAAGTTAACATTTCTAGATGGTGAATTTTTGGTTTTTGAGTATCGGTCCAATTTAATGCAGGAATATAAACAAGTATCTGGAATTCCCGCACCCTATACTTCTGTAATCTAGCAAACACCTTTTGTGGATTAGCTAGAGTAGTTTACACACATATTATCAAGGATAAATAGCACAAAAAATGGAGAAATAACTGTTACAACTCTAAAGATTCTTAAGCTATTTTCCACACTTTACATTACAAGCTCTTATACAACCCTCACTGACTAGCTGTTAATTACAGTAATTTAGTATGGTGCTAATGACACATCTCTGGGGGAATAGATGGACGATGGCAATATCCTTATTTACTTTGATGTTGATGTGAAGAGGCAGGAATACAGAAATGATTTGTTAAGGATCACACAATTTCATGATGAGAGGTGGATGGAATCAAAACATTGCTTAATGTCAGCGCATTCTGTAGGAATATCGAACAAGCCTACTAACAACGCTACACAAACTGCTTTACCTTATTATTGTCTACTTTGAAAAATAGTGCCATTAATAATAGTTATCATAGAAGCCCAGATCATTTTAAACATACTTATTTTTCTTGAGTGATTTTTGTGTGTTTTTTTTTATCTGCAATGTTTAATAGCATATTGGCAATCAGATAGATAGATAGATAGATAGATAGATAGTCTATCTATCATTATAACCACACATACACACTTTACTTGCATTTTTTGTGAGGTAGCAGAAGCCTTTTATGATGACTGTCCCATTATGTCACTGTGGTCACCTGCTTCATTTCCAACATCACTGGACTAATAATAATATGCTTCAATGATGCAGATTTCAGATCACAGGTTTTCACATTTGCTTAGGTCTTAAGTGGCCCTTAGTGACAGTGTGCCCTATCTTTGTACAATAATTGACATTACTGATGCGTGAGCTACACAGAGGACTTTAAAATGGAAATACACCTTGTGACAGTGCAGTTCCCTGTCATGGTGTATGTTGCCCATGAATCTTAACTAGGCAGGTTGAGCGGGCTCCAGGATACTTGTTTCATTTGGAGGAAACCGTTTTTTGAGTTTCCTTGGTGGTTGGTAGAACTCGGTTTGGGACCTGGAGCCCAGAGATTTCACAATAATCTGGGTGTGAAGAACTGAATACCGGAATAGCTGGAACACTGATTGTTCAGGTGTGTGCAGGTCTTTTTGTAGAGTCAGAATCAGGGTTCTGGGCTCCACCATCCCAAGAACTCCATGTGCATGCATGGGAGCAGCCACAAGGGTGCAAGTTTGCAAGGTGCAGTCTGATAGAACAGAGTGCCCAAGCCTGAGGGCCAGACCAGCACTGAGCTGCAAGAAAGCATGCCAGCAGAGGTACAGAGTTTGTACCAGAACACAGTGACACTGTTACATGAGCAGGAGGCCTGAGGTAAAAGTGGAAAATGTCTTTAATTACAAGCTAACTGTGACCTTGTGAAATATAAAGATATACTGTAAGCTTAAGATGAGTTTAGGAATTGTACTGGAAAAACTGAAACCTTAAATCTTCTTGGGATATTAAATAAGCCTGCACAAAAAAGTATTTAATGTGCAATTAAAGTAAACAACAGCAAAAACAAAAACAAAAAAAAAAATTAGGCCCCAGGCAGTTTAAGTCATAATGTGCTAGTATGCACTGCATACTAGCACATTATGACGGACTTACCTGATAACAAAGCCCTCCAGTGGCACTTTGTCACTGCTGTAGGCACTTCCATCTTTACCCGTTCTTCCTTACGGGTTCATGGGCTTCGGAGGTATAAATGGCCGAGCAGTGATCTTATCACTTCTGCGTGCATGGTAGTGTGTGCCACTGTTTACAGCACAGGGCTCTGAAGGAACAGCATGGTATGCCATTCCTTCAGAACACATGCACTGGTGACGTCACTAGCTGCTTCACCAGCTGCTTCTGTAGTAAATATTACCTAAATGGTGATATTTACTGTTCCTACAGGTAAGCCTTATTGTAGGCTTACTTTAACCTCCCTGGCGGTATTCCCGAGTGTAGCTCGGGGTAAAGTTTCAGTACCACAAGCAGTAACCCCAAGCTACACTCGGGAATACCATGCGGTACTGCTCCGCGATGCCTCGATCACTTACCTTGTCCTGCGCTCCCGCGATGTCCATTCTGCAGTGTCCCCGGCAATGTAATCCGGCGGATGCCGGCATCTGTCATCTGGGTTCCGTCCCCTGCGAGCGGCGGGACGTACGGGGGACGGAACGGCGGGAAATTTGAAAATGACAAAAAGTGACATTCACTAAAATCACATAGTAAAACATTACTGTATCAAACCATTTCACATACATTTTGTCCCTAGTGCTTTGTCCTGTGCCCTGCCTGCATTTTTACTGTTCTTATTGCCTGGAAACTGAGAAATGTCCATGGCGTCCAAAAAGCGTCCCTTTAGGTCAAAAGCGGTTTTAGACCAGCTAGAGAACAGCGATAGTAAATCAGAACCACTTGCAGAATTAAGTGATAATGATTTGTGGGGAAATTCGTCATCAGACACTGAAAACAATTTTGCGACTTTGCTTAGTGATGTGCGAACTTGGCGCTATATTTCAAATT